TAGCGCTTTATCAAGTTCTGTTTCTTCAGAGAAGGGGACTTCTTTTACCTGGTCAGCGACACCTCGCCAGACAATTATCAGGCTAGATTTCGAACCAATCATAGATGTAAAATATATGACTGGAATTTCTAGTTCTTATCTGTGTGCTGTGTTTTTAGCTCTATGATGTCATGGTGGATTCTCTGTTCTGGTAGCACCTTCTACCAATGATGATTCACTCCAAGGAGTGAAATTCTATGCAGCATACTGGGATGTGGAGTCACACACAGTCCTTTGGTCTCATGGTTGATTCACAAAAATATTGTTACACAAGTGGTGCATTTCTCAGTATGTCAGATCAGTCCAATTGTTTAGTTCTTTAAAGCATGATAAAAATATTCAGAACTTTCCCAACCAACTTACATCCTACCAGACAAGTTTCTTGTTCTTGAAGCCTTTCAGATGGGAAAGTTGACCAACATGGTATCATTAGAAATCACTGAAAAAGGCCAGCTACTCTTGGATTATTGTGATTTGGTGCATTGTCCAAATGACTAACAAAGCTGAGCTCTATCAGTGAGGCCATGTGGTCACGCTTCACCTTCCCCTTTACTACTTATTAAGTGTGCTGGATTGGTGGAAAATTGTGGAAAGGTCAGTCTCAACTAGCCCCATGCAACAGTGCATCCTGGGCCGACTGGCTGGCCACAGCTTTCTGTCGGGATAGGAAAAAAAACAATAAAAAATTAACACATTAGTATTTTGCTTCAACAGCTTTTCAAAAGTAACAAAGAAAGATATTCATCTCAGCATCTGTTATCTTCCCTGTTTAACACAGGGTCGAGTCAGGGGGCGGCAGCCTTTCTTGGAGTGACCCAGATTTCTCTTTCCCCTCCTGGGTCAGCTCCTCCCGGGGAATCCCAGGCTCCAAGGCCAGCTGACAAAGATCATCCCTCCAGCGGATCTCATCCTGGTGGGATGTGTCTGGCACACCTCAACAGGGAGGTGTCCAGGAGACAATTCATATGTTTGAACCAAGCCTTTCCCTATTCCAACAGGTTCAGACATCTTGATTAAGTTGCACTCCTGCTGTATGAAAGCTCCTTTATTGTTCCATAAAACAGCAATGTGAACACTTCAAATTTTCTCTAACTACTAACACTAAATGGAATGTCTCATGTCATCCATTTCATAGTATGGGAAATAAAAATGAAAATCAATGTCAGCTTTTCCAGGTGAGGGATTTACTTTATGAGTTATAATTTAAGTGTGTAGTTGTGGAGAGTAGCCTTTTCCTCTCCAATATAATTAAACACTAAGTCTTATAAGGGGCAGTGATATCCATAATACCAACCTTCAGCACTTAAAAGCCATAAACACAAGACAAATGTTCATCAGCTGCAGAAGTGAGCTGTAATCAATCATGTGACTGAGGAAAGATTATTTTCTGTGCAGGAGAGTGCTGATGCTGACATAAGAATATAAATGAATGGATGCTAATTGTAAGAAATTTCCCTTCACAGAAGCACACAAACAGATGAAATATTCTGGCCTCATCTAAGAGGAAAGAAAGAGAGAAGGAACTGTGATAGATCAACAGCAGATCTACGAGAGGGAGAATGCAGACATTGGAAGTACGACAGCAACACCATGTGGCCATAAAACACAACACTTTCAGCCCTGAAGAATTCATCAGGTAGAACCTGTATTTAACAAGGCAAGTTCAGAACAACTCTCTTCAAGCAGTTTCTGAAAGACTTTATGACACAAGAAACATACTATCATGGTCCAGAGAAACAGCACATTGTTTCTGCTCAAGGTTTAACAGCTCAGAAGGTAAAACAAGTGAAAATATCCAGGTTCTAATTACATTCAACTCCACTTTTATTATAATATTAACAAAGCAAAGAATAATCCCACCTGGAGGTTTCAGGTGAAGGTTAGAACAAGTCAAGGAAGAAAGACTTTGCGCTTGATCTATTAGGAAGATATTATTTCTAGTGTTGGAGATACTATTGCAAAACAAGCTGAAGTCATTTCTCATGAAACAACCATAAAGTTCCCTGCACTAACGTATTCAATTAGTCTCTGTGGGATTACCTAATGGTGGTCAAAAACTCACAAACTGAGAGATTTGGAGGAATTTATTTAAAAAAAAAAGTAGAATAGACAAAACATTTCCTAATAAAAAAAAAAGACATTTGGACAGACTCCAATAAGAGATGCTGGATTGAACTAAACCAGGGGTGCTCAAGTCCAGTCGTCGAGAGCTACCATCCTGCAACTTTTAGTTGCAGCCTTACTCCAGTAGACCAGGCTCAGCTATGAACAGGCCTGGTAACGAGTCATTCATTTGATTCAGGTGTGTTGGAGCAGGGATGCATCTGATAGTTGCAGGATGGTAGGCTTTTGCAGAAAAACTGAATGCTTGTTCAGTTCACGCTCTGGGTTTATCCATCAGTAACAAAACAACATGCCATGAGATCAACCTCCTCATACTACAGAATAAGCTTATTGGTGTTGAGAAGATCTACTTCATTCTTGTAGTAATCAGGACAGTTTTATGTCATTCAGGTCTCTTAATTTTTATTTTGCAGATTCGGTGATAGTGCATTTAGTTGCCTTACCTTCTCCAGTTCAGTTAAGATGTGGTTAAGAGAGTTTCCTCACAACCAACACCTTTGGTTATTTAAACCAAAGGTGAAAGGTGAGCAGTCCTATGGTCTAATGTTCAGGTTTCTGGACATTAGACCAGAAACCTGGTTTTGACCACTAGTCCCAAACCACAAGGCAGTGCAGGTAGTCACAAAAAAGCTGCCAGGGGAAAGTATTTTAATCACCTCTGAAATGAGCGATTAGAATAATTATTCCATGGGAGAGGGATGGCTCCTGCTATTAACAACCCTCTGTTCAATATCACAACAAATTAGTTCATGCTCATTAGTATGAGTTGTGCTTGCCTAGTGGTTTGGAAAACCTCCATTGGGAACTTGCTTTATTACTCCCATTGTGAGGAGCATGTAATTAACATTCATCAACTGCAATGTTTATGATGCAACCACCCCAACCCCATGAATGTGATGTTGCTGTTACATAAGTGTATCAGCAGCTTGGAGGGGTTTGAGACAGAAAATGAGATTGTTGAAAAGTTAACTCACAAGTTGTAGTAAAGGGGCTCTTGTGGTTTAATGCAAGTCATCCTTGCAACAATGAGCAAAATATGAAAGTACAAACAAAAAAATTACTTGATGCAGTTGTTGCATTTTAACCCTAACACACTGTTGAGATTTGATACCTTCAATTTTTGATAATTGTGATTTTGTTTTGCATTGGAAAATACTTTGACTCAATATTGCATGTATCCTGGTACAAATGTTTTACTTGACATTTTGTTTTTCTATCCTAGAGCCACCAATTTATCTCTTCTGACTTGCAAAAAGACTAATCCCACCATTATTAAGAACAGGAGCTCATTCACACAGATCAGAACAAATCTCCATATATTATTTTAACTTAATCTGGGCTATTGGATTAACTTAATGTTTCTGTGTTGTTTTTAATTGCATTTTTTTTTCTACATGCAAAAGTCCCAATCTGAAACCTTGAAACCTTGTTTTGTGTTTTCAGTATTCCCATAAATCTGACACTCAAGAGGCACCTGCGAACCATCACTCTCGACCATCACCAGGGATGGTTGAGAGTGAGAGTAAATTCATCTTTATTGTATATTTTAACTGAGAGAATTTTTATTTTCTATATTATGCATTTCAAATATTTGATGTAGTTAATAATTCTGTGAAATGGGAGAGATGATTGCTGTTGGCGCAGAGCTAAAACATAACCCATGTATGGAGGCCTTAGTCCTCGCCATGGCTGTCACAGGTTTGAGTCCTGATCTGGTGATGCATGTATCTTCTCTGTCATTGCCCTCCTTTCTGTCTGACCACATTTAAATAACGGTCACTAGAGCAAAAAAAAACGTAATTTTAAGAAAAAAAAGAGGAAGGACAAAGATGCAATCATAAAAATGGTTTAATTTGAGTTATATGAACTTTATTTTTTTTTCTGTTTGTTGTACTACTTGATTTAGTACTGCTTATTTAAAATAAATTAGGTTTATTTACTTATTTTAAGCTTACTTTGCTAAATCTTTTTAGGCAATTAGTTTGCATAATATTGTTAAGTAATATGAACTAATTAGATTTTACAGTGAAGGTGGTCAGCACCACCAGAGCACCACAGGGTAGCCTACTGTATTCTCACCATTTCTTTTCACTACATCTTTTTCTGCAGATGAATTCTCCAGCAGAGAATTCATCTGCAAATTGAGCAGAGGTAAACAAGAAAGCCAGTAGAAGAGCTGGTACACCACTTTGTGGTGTGGAAACAAAAATCTTATCTTGAATACAAACAAAACAGGTGATTGCAGATTTCAAAAGAAACAGTGTTAAGTCAAACCTTATTATTGTGATCATTGTGCAAAGGCTGCCTCAAATAATGAAAAATACAATGGACTGTTCTACAACAACAGAGTGTCTTCAGTCAGAGTCAGTCTGTGTAATACAGACATATTCTTTCTGCCCACAGGGATCAGCATCTACAATTATTTTAAAAACCTCGATTAATGTAAGTTACAATGTTTAATTTCCTTTTGGGATTAATAAAGCATTTTTTTATTCAATTGAATTTAAATTGTTCTTTTAAGTAATGTTATATTAGCTGAGTAAAGATAGTTAGGAGGCACAGTGCTGAAAGAATTTAAAAAGTAATTTTCTACAACCATTTTAAACTATGATTAGTTTAGCTTCTGACGAAAACTAAAGATTTTTGCTAAGTTTAATAATGCTGCTGTTTAAAATGTTTTTTTCTTTAAATAGCTTATTATTATTATTATTATTATTATTATTATTATTATTATTATTATTATTATTATTATTATTATTATTATTATTATTATAGGCGGTGCAGTGTTTAAGAGCTCAGGGGACCGAATTGCAGTGTGCACACACTTCCTGATGGAGCTGCTGAGTATCAGCAAAGAATAATACCGAGCAAGGCAGCTTGACGAGTTGAGAAGAAGTTATGTCTGGCTGTCCAGTGGACAGGGAGAAGCTTTTTCTAAAGATGGACGTTATCCTTCGGCTTCTAGAACAGGAGTAGTGGATAACATCCCTATGTCTACGTCTTGGCACTGCTGACACATCTACGACGAAGGGTAGGATTGTTCAAGTCCCTGTAGCTAACAGCAGCTATCAGGCTACAAGGCTAACGTAAGATGGCTAGTTTTAAGCTCTAGGCCTTTCTAGAATAACCTGTTTTCACCTGGTTCCGTAGTGTATCAGATGCAAAGTCGTAGTTCTTTCCGCTCTGCTTTGATATTGTCAGAGTTGTATTGTCTAATTTACTGACCAAAAAAAGCCAAAGTTATTCTGAGTGTGTTGTTGGGCTGTTTTTAAAGGGCTGTTGCTGTTACCCGTGCTGAGTAGCCAGCTGGAGGAAGGCTGTGGTTGTGCCGTTTTGACAGCTTCCAACAGAACATTAGAAACACTGTTCACCAATTCATTCAGTGAATTAGACATGCCCTTTGATAATAGCTTTACAATCATAAAATTGACACTTTTTTTAAATTCGTGTTCACGTTCAAATATATGTTCTGTTGAATTTTATAAGTAATGGTAATTACGAGCTGTTATTGTTTCATATCTTACAAAACTCTCTTTTATCCAGTAAGTTACTGGCTTATTTTAGCTAGTAATGTCTCAAACGTTGCCGCCCTCTGAAATGCTGGAAACACCACCTGGATATCCGTTTGAAGAAATAAACTATGAGGATATTGAAGTTGAAGAGGTGGGTTGCACCAACAGAGTATGAAGCTTACATAGTACGGTAATTACTCATGATTTTGAATGTTATTGTGTTTGTTACCTGTGTAGGTGGTGGGAAGAGGAGCTTTCGGAGTTGTCTGCAAAGCCAAGTGGAAAGGCAAAGATGTTGCGATAAAGACAATTGAGAGTGAATCAGAGAGGAAGGCATTTATTGTCGAGGTAGTGTCTACCCTTACTACAGTTCTTGTGTTTAGTGCTATATAACATGCAGTAGCAGCACTGTCAAGTTAGAAATTCAGATTTTTGGTAATTTATCATTAGGTTGTCTATATCCCTCCTGTAAATATTGATCTCTGTCAAAAATCACAATAGCACTACCCTTATCTGCCGGTTTTAAAATAATGTTTTTGTTAGATTTAATTCCTGTAAAGCTTTAAGTTCCTCTGGAGTAAAATTTGATTTTACATGAATCGGATGGAAATGATTTTGAAAAAAATCTTGATCAGTATTGATAAGGGTGAGCAATTGAGTTGGAAGTTGGCCCAAAGAGGGCACCCAAATAGATAAGCATACTTTATACATATAATATTTTATATTGTTGAAAGATATTAGTGTGATTAGAGCAGCATCCAAAAGTATCACCTTGGTTGTCTCTGACAACACTGACGTACCTGAACTCTGCTCAACCTCTGATGTCCATCAGTAAAACATACTTTAATTTTTGAAGGATATGGGACTGAAATATCTTGAAAAGTGAAACACCTTCAGCAAATGACTGAAAACCTGAGCTGAGTGTTTTATTGTTGCCACTGGTGATTTTTTATTATTATTGTAGTTCTAAAACACTGTAGTTCAGTTTTTTTTGTGTTCAAACACAAAAGGATTGTATTTCAATTTTAGGCATTTCACAATACAACATGTGATTTAGTTGACGCTAGTAAATGGTCAGAAACCTCTCAAGTTTCAGGGCCTTTCTTGCTGTATTTCCAGCTGGGATTTCCTACCAGGCAGTGCAGATAGTGTGCAGTGTGGAAATGGCTCAGCCCTAACAGTGTACACTGTCCAGTGTTGATTGAAAGTACAAAAGAAAGTCTGTCACAATAATTAAATAAATAATTATGTGATTAACTAATTAATCACATGATAAATTGAAACAAATTCAATAATTTGAATTTGTATAATTTATACATTTTCCATTTTTCTCTCACTCTGCCATAAATTGGGTGACAAAACTCTGGTGTTTTGGTCTCAACTATTTTTACTTTTGCCCTTTTGTTGAAAGACAAAAACTTCATAATTAATTTTATATGTCATTTATTTTGTTTTGTTTATTTATTCTGGATATTTAAAATGTTTTCCTGTTCCAATGTTTAAATGTTCATTACAATTTTAGGTTTATTGATCTTTGACAATATGTTCCTGAATTATGCCATTAACATTGCATTACGAATATCACAATAACTTCTGGGACAATTTATCATCCAGCAAAATACCATGACAGGCCTTTACAAAGGCATACAGATCATCTGCCATCTCAGGGGTTTTTGTATTGTTAATGATTTGTGTCACAAATCATTTAATGAGGATAATTGTATTTTTTAAATTGTAATAATGACTTTACATCTGAAACCTGAACCAAACTTGTACTAGTAGGCTTGAAAAAAACAATGCTGTAAAGGTTTTGTCCACAAATCACAGAACCTGCAGTCAGCTCTTGGTTTTCTTTTGTTATATCGTACACTGCCACTGCTGTGCAAGTTCCTTTCTCCAGCCAGGTTGTTGCTTTTGAGGCATCCTTCTCCTATTAACCCTACTGGCAAACTAGAGTTTCAGAGGTGTGTTTGGAGCTTAAAAAGAAGAAAACTTTTTTTCAGTGTATCACAGCCTCTTTTATATCAACTCAGTGTTGCTTTTGGCTATTGTGTCCCCTCAGCCTCATTATTACTGTCAAGAAAATGCCTTATGTTCAAATTTTCTCTGAGTTTTAGCTTTGGTGCTTTTATCCATTATTTACTTCCCGAAAGCCACTAAAATAACTTTGCAAGAATTACAGTTGTATGCAAATGATCTTCTTTATAAACTCTGCTCATGTATTTTACAGGTAATGTGTTTATAAACCTATCTACTCAAATGTATTAATACATTAGTAAATGAGTGTGCTCACCATGGAATGATGTCTTAGAATTATATTAATTCTATGTTTCTAAACACCAAACACAGTGAATAGCAGCAGCAACATCAGGTTTGCAGAAGTTTTAATTATGTAACTGTGATTAAAACAGTTACATAATTATATTTGAATGCTATATTTCCTTTTATCCTATTACTTGAGGAGTAATAATGCATTCAGCTAATTAGAGGATAAACAGTTTCATGTCAAAAAGATGAAACAATATTTTTGCAAAAATTCAAAACAATTTTTGTTTTTCACAAATTGAATAAGAGCATCAATGATCAGAAATTATGTTTATACACATGTAATAATAATATTTTATCCATAATGTGTTCCAGTTTTTGTTTTAAAAAGTTTTTACAACCAATTGAAATGTTTTATGAATCTGAAATTGTTTTTGAGAAAATTATTGGTCCACTTCAGGAACAATCCTGACTTTTCTTTTAAACCTTCCTGAAAACGTGGAAGACCAAGATGTTTGTTTAGAGACGATGGAACATTTTCTTAAGCATTTTTTTGAGAATCTGCATTTTTATTTTTCAAGCTTATAAAGTTAAGCATGTGATTAATCTGATTAAATTGTATAAAAACTTGTTTAAGCTCTTCTGTCATCTTTTAGGGCTGCACTTGTTTCCCACTGGCATTAGTCATGTAACACATAATTTGAGAGGCGCGAATGTTGGCCTGATGTTTTCCACTCACCGCCAGCAGCCATTTTAACCAAACAATATGTGTTGGTTGAATACATATTGTTTGGTAAGCAGTTAAAATGTTCTTGCTGAGCTGTGACATATGATGTTTCGTCTTTATCACCAGCTCAGGCAGCTTTCACGAGTCAACCACCCCAATATTGTGAAGTTGTATGGCTCTTGTAAAAGTCCGGTAAGTTAACTGAAGAGTGAGTACATGCCATGAATTTTCTGTCTTGGTTTCTTGAAGAGGGTTTTCTCTGCTCTTTTCCTGCTTTAGGTGTGCCTGGTGATGGAATATGCTGAAGGTGGATCGTTGTACAATGGTGAGTCCAGATGCTGCTGTTACACTCTTTAAAGACCACAGGGTTGAGATGACCCTGTTTTAATTTACCTTTTCACTGTTGCATGATTGATGGGAAACTTGTTGGATTTTCTTGACAACCGGTTTTTGAACTATGATTTTCAGTGTTTGTACTGTTTGTGACTGTTTTATCAATTCAACTGGAGATTTTAAGGTTTGAGAACAATAAATTTGAAAAAAATAAACTTGAAGCTTTTTACTTTATTGTTCTCACTAAAAACTTATACGTGCACACCAAGTATAAGATGCCCTCATGTTTTATCTTACAGGTATGTGTTTTTTTCTGAGTTAAGAATGAATTTCATCTTTATGTGAAGGTCTGCATAGCTGAAGTTGACTTGGGTAAATTCAGCATTTTTTCTGTAGCTTGATTCTATTGTGCTGCAGCTCAGCTGGATTCCAGAGTTGGACTATGTTCTCTTGTGTTTTTTTCTCAAGGATATAAAAATTATTCCCCAACATTTAGAGAAATGTGACTCAAGTCACAATGAATGAAATGTTATTATTTGTCCAGAAACTTGTGGACTTCTTATTTGCAAAATAATTATGATTTGAATATAATTGGTTAATTAATGAAGCTGTGAGGTGTGCATTGTATGTAGAGCTGTCAGTATTTAACATAGACTAGTGATATGAGCTTGTTCATGGTTTCCATTCTGCACACTCTTCTCGTCCATGCGTAATATTTTTGAAACCATGCCTTTACTGTTTTTGGGATCTCATGTGAATGCTGTTTCTAACTGTAAAGTCTCAGCTTTATCTTGTCTAATTGTTGAAGCAGCAGACACTTGGGTAAATATATGGCTCTGCGTTGTGTGCCTGCAGGATCCAGTTTTCTGCCAGTTTTGGGGGGTTTTTTGCTGTTGTTTTTGCGTCTGTTGTCCATAGTGGTGTTTGTGACTGCGTTCTCTTGTTCGCAGTGCTGCATGGTGCTGAACCCCTCCCTTATTACACTGCTTCCCATGCCATGAGCTGGTGTTATCAGTGTTCCCAGGGTGTGGCCTATCTCCATGGCATGAAACCAAAGGCTCTCATTCACAGGGACCTCAAACCACCGAAGTATGCTACTTCTCCTCACTGTACACACACCGCTGTCTCTTTTGTAACTATCACTGAAGTGCCTTGACTTCACTCTGATCTTGCTAGCTCACAAACACAGAGAGGCAAAAACTGCTTACTTTCCAAGTTATAAACTTATACATCATAAAAATAAGAATGTTATTTATTAAAAAACAAAACAAAAAAAAACACTAAGAACGTGTAATGGAATGCAGAAGCGATTTAGTTTAGTTCAGAGACGGGGCTGCTTAGAAAATATCAAGTTGCTGAAGGTTTGAAAGTTGTCTCTCAGTTGTGTCAAGTACGTAACCATGATACAAGCATAAAGACAACCACAACAAGTCCCAAGGAAGCAGAAGTAAAAATCCTAAAACTTGTGCTCTCTCAGTATTCACTGCTTCGCCACATATAAGCTGTTTAACAGCCAGTGAAGTGTTATTGAATCACATCTTTGAGATCTAAAGTGCTTAACACACTTGAAACATGTTAATTCACAGATAATCTTTGTTATCCAGGAACAAATTCCTTTTAAACTGTGGTTTTCAAACTTCTTAAGTTTCTTTTAGGGGAACAAGACTTTTCATTGCAATTTGAGTTTTATTTTCAGACCAAAAAATAATTTGCAATATCTTGTCTTTCTTTTGTCATTTTCACTTGTTTGGGAAAAATAGACATTGCTAAAAATGTATTCATCATTTAAAATGCACAACTACGTGTATATTAAAAGGTCTGACAGTCTCAGGGAGAACAGACTTGATGTAGCGTTGCTTAGCACATCTGGATTGTAGATAGTCCTGAATTTGTGCTTCTTCAACTCTGGCTGCTCCTCAGGATATCCACCAGTTTACTGGCAAAATGAAAGTAGAAACCAAATTATATATTTAGACGTTAGTTGACTGAGCAATTTGTTCAACATATTCACTGAAACATAAAACTCCTCAATCAGAATTTATTTTTTCTTGAATAATTTGTTAAAATAGAATATATAAAGATAATATAAAATAATCTCAACAACCTAATACTAATTCTGTCTATTGTAGCTTTATTTACTACATGGCAACACATTTCTTTTTGCATGTAAAAAATGTCAATAAAATAATGTCTCTAATCTCATACTCATTTAAATAAATTCTTAGAATAACTAATTTAAAAACAGTATACTTTTAAAAATGCACAACTCCAATGTTTTTAAAGATTAATAGTTGTATCATTCATCAATAAAATATGAGTAGGAGAAAACTTGTGGATGAATGGAAATGCTGCACCTTCTTGAAAAGGAATTCAATAATCCTGAATTTGTGCTTCTTTGGGTCAGTACCCAGTTCCATAAATAGAAAATGTTAATTATAAACACTCCTAAAATAGCCAACTAATTCCAACTATGAAGATGAACATTTGGTCACTGTTTCTGCTTTGAAGCTGTTGGGATGATTAGAAGTTTTCCCACATCGGCCAGAGCAGAAGGAGATGATTCTCCCCTTTAACCTAAGGAGGGAAACGTGTTTCTCTCCTTAGGTTGATGCATTCATCTAACATAATGGGATATGTTATATGTATTTATTTACTGAATTTATGGGTATCATTTGTTGCAATTGGTGGTGTTACTTACTTTTGTTTGTAGAATTAGCCAAACTGGTATTTTTACAAAATGTAGAAGAAAAACCAGTCTAGAAAGAAATCTTTGTCTGGGAGAGATTTTATTAGTGCAGTTATTTCAGCACATCCCGGTAGCTCTTTTTTTCTAATTGCTTTTATTTGTTCCATTGTTTGTTCCAGTCTGCTTCTAGTGGCAGGTGGCACAGTGCTGAAGATCTGTGACTTTGGAACAGCCTGTGATATCCAGACCCACATGACCAACAACAAAGGAAGTGCAGCATGGATGGCTCCAGAGGTATTTGAAGGCAAGTAGAAGTGGCGTTCCTGCTGCCCTCCTGGTTTTATTGGACAGAATGCATCCTGATATGTTTGTTTTTATTTATTTCTGCACATTCTCTCTGAATTGCCACAAACCCGTTCAAGCATTTCTTCGTTTTCCTTCTTATAGTTCACTTTACGCAGGCACTTTTCACTTTAATTGCATCTTAGTGCTGCCAGCAGGATACATTAATCGTTGATTCATCCTCAGACATTGTACACTCTGCTTTATTGATGGTAGTCACCAAAGCAAGGCAAAAAGATGGATGGTTTGATACTTGTGCCTTTATTTCCCCGGGGACACTACAGTGTAGAATTTGTGTTCTCGTTCAGCCAGCAGCCTAATGTATCACTAAATGATGAGATGTGTTCTTGGCGAGAGGGTCAGGAGAAAAGATGAAATAACATCTAGTCATTATCTTGTTTTTGGAGGCGAGATACAAATGCAATTAAACAACTTTCTCCTGGCCTCTCCGTGAACTCTTCACAACTAATTTGCATTGGTGTAAAGAGCAATCAAAACACACCAGCACAGCAAGTTTAAAATAGGTTTGTGATGTGCACATTTATTCTTCAACAGAGGCCTTGTAATTAAGCAACACAGGAGCTGTTCATCAGTAAAAATTGCTTGTATATTTTCATCCTTTTCCCTTCTGAAGGCAACGAGGAAATAAAAACTGCTCTTCTGCTGCTCTGTTTTCTCAGGCACATCTTTCTCTCTCATCTTAAATTTGCCACAGAGAATTGATTTTATCAGTCATCAGTATGAGAGTTTGAGTTTCCTCTGTCTGAAAATGTGCTCAGTGTTTTTGTGGCTCCCTCTGTAATTGCAGGCAGCAATTATAGCGAGAAGTGTGATGTTTTCAGCTGGGGCATCATTCTCTGGGAAGTGATCACTCGCAGGAAGCCCTTTGATGAAATTGGTGGACCAGCTTTTCGCATTATGTGGGCTGTTCACAACGGTGAGTCACACTGTGTTTTTAAATGTCGTCTGTCTGTGTGTGGGATCCAGAGGCCGTAGTCCAGCTGTCGGCCACTAAGAGGCCTCAGACGTATCTGTGCCTTTAGGGCTACAATCTACTGACACACGCAGCACTACCTGCAGTTTATTGTCCTGTACACAATGATTAAAGAAAATGATCATGGAATTCATGTATGAAAGAGTGCGCAGCATTTGAAAGTTTGCTGTTGGGAGAAATTCTGAAACTTACAGAACAGAAAAAAATCCAGATGTTTAAAATGTGTACATGTTGCCTTCATGAATCCAGATTTGTGGTGAACTGGGCAGCACAGCTGCGCATGTCATTTCTCCACACTGTGCAGTTTGGTATAAATACACAGAAAGTTTCCATCACTGGACTGAATAACCATGGCAACGACCTCTGCTTGAATCTGTTTTCAATGACAGCTAATAAATATATATATTTTTAAAGGTGCCTTTCAAAACACCTTTTAAATGTATTTATTGCATTACTTTACAGAAAATAAAATTAAAAGCAAACTTAGAGGGGCAGTATTGTGTGTTTTTCACATTTTATAAATCATAAAATAATTGTATTACATAAAATGTTAACTTCAGTTATTACAAAAACCCTGAGCTCATTTTAGGAGCTCCTTCTCAGAGGACCGTTGGTAAAAAAACATTGTTAAAGGGTTAATAGAGGAGCCATATTGTACTGACTTCCTGAAGGCTTGGAAAGAGCAGGAGTTTCTAAAAAGACACAGCCCGGAGCTTAAGTGTTAAATTTATTTTTAAAAAGTTTGCATTGCTGCTGGACATTTTCATGGCAGGTTAAAAGTTTGTTTGGATTACCACACACCGTTATGCTTTATTTATTTTTGTACATTTTTGTGTGTAAAATGTTGCACTGCACATTATTTTTGAATATAGAACCGAATTTGTATCTGTGGATCTTTACTGATTCATTCTGAAGATGTAAAAAATAAATTTTCTGTCTTTCAAGATTAGTTTTTTTAACCTAATATTTCTGTGTTTAGGTACAAGACCGCCACTCATCAAGAATTTGCCTAAACCCATTGAGAGCCTGATGACACGCTGCTGGTCTAAAGACCCCTCTCAGCGGCCTTCCATGGAAGAAATAGTCAAGATTATGACTCATCTAATGAAGGTAGTATGTCTTCTCCCATTGCTCACACCCTCTGCACATTTTCATTGAAGTGCAGATGGTGGTAGTCTCCAAATTAATATTTCTTTGGATAAGTGGGAAGATTCATATCAAGTAGCTTCCTGTTCTAATGTTCCTCATTAAAAATTAAAGAAAGAAATCTGCAGTGTTTCAGAAGGACGAGAGGCCTGTAAATTTCATCATTGCTAATTTTAATCACTTCAATTACGAGACAGAAAATGAAAAAGAAATCCAGCAAAGTTTCAGCTTTTAAAGCACACAATTTAGTAAATTTCATAATGAGCTTTAAACATATTGCTTTACCAGATAATACAGATCACAGATCATAACTACAAAATCAAAATAAGTGAATCAGGTCTCAAAAGAAGCTATTTAAAGTTTATCCTACAATCATATTGTAGGATGTTTAAGTAATTTGCTTGTAAATTATGGTAGAAAATAAGTATTTTATGTTGAGATGCACCATTTTATCTGTCAACTGATTTCCTTAATTTTGTGAGATCAATGTTTGGCTGATAATTATATGTAAAGCCAATTTTATCTACCAATCTTATCTTCCTCGACAAAGGTCTAAAAATCAAACACTGTTCTCAAAAAAAATCAAACACTGTTCTCTTGTGCTCTGCACTGAGAGATATTTGACTGAAAAGATGCAAATCATATCTGCGTGGTGCAATTGACAAACTGTTGCCAACTCAGAAACTTGCTTTCTATGTTTAGTGACATTTCAGACAAAAAAATTGGTTTGGCCAAAATCATAATCAGCAGGCCGGACTTTTTAAAGAGTGGTAATCAGCGATTAACCAGAAATCAGCGATTAACCAGAAAACTGCAATCAGTGCACCCCTCATATGATCAATAATAAAAATTTAACTCATTGCTTTACAAATGCAATTAAACAACTTTCTCCTAACATGACCTTTGTTAGCAATCACAAAGGTCAAATGTTTCTTGCAAGGCTTCAGTCTTCACCTCCAGTTCTGTCTCCTGTTCTTTCCTCGTTGCTTCCCTCTGTAAACCAAACATCTGCTGGTCACTACTGTCTTCCTCTACTCTACCTTCTTTACCTCTTCTACCTGTAACAACACTGTTCCACCTGTTCTCCTCTCGTTTACACATTAATTCTATCTTGTTGTGATTAATCTTCATTTTTCTCTTTTCCACTCCACACTTCTATCTCTCCCATTTGCCCTCTATCCATCACTTCAGATCATAATGTCATCTGCAACTCAATGGTTTGTAGCATAACCTTTGTAGTCATGGAGCCTTCTGTCTGATGGACAGGCTGTCAGATAAGATCAACACAAACAAGAAGGGGTTTAGATCCTTGATGCACTTCCACCATCACATGGAACTCCTACAGCACACCTCACTGCTGTCTCACACCATGTCTCATACATGTCCTGTACCAGTCTGACATATTTCTTTGCCACTCCAGACCTTGTCATGAACAACATCTCCTCTCACTGGCCTTCTCTGTTCTCTCCTGGAGAACTGAAAGATGGTTTTAAGTTAACATCAGGTGAACTGAAATCACTAGCATCCATCATTTTTCCCCACGGCTTCATTGTATAACTTACCACATTTTCATACACAGCTGGTCTTTGTTTTTTTTTTTTTTTTTTTTTTTTTTTTTTTTACTTAATTGTGCATTTCATGGAGTCAAATTAAATTCAGGCTGTTAATTTGCTATTCCTCTCAGTACTTCCCAGGATCAGATGAACCTCTTCAGTATCCATACCAGTATTCAGATGAACCACAGAGCAACTCTGCAAACAGTACAGGTAACAAATAATCTTTTCAATTTTCTACAACTGTGTCTGTTCTGGCTTCATAATGTCTTTAGCTTCTTCTTGTACAGATTATACATTCTGCTGTGTCATTTGAGATTGAATGAACACTGTTTTATTCCTTTGGTATCTAAACTTTTTTTTTATCTCAACACTTTTTCAGGGCTTGATAAACTCACATGCTCGATGTTTCTCTCAGCAAAGTTACCAAAATAAAACCATGTGTCTAAACATTTTTATTCATCAAAATGTTGTATAGTACATTGCAGAAACTGTCAAGTAGTTTTGGAAACACCTGCCTTACACTTAACAGTTGATCAGCATAAATTGTCTGTGACTGCTTCATACAGTGAGTGATTGAACTGGCTTAGCTGCATTGGGATTGCACATGTTAACTTGACAGAGGAGAAAAAGAATGCTTTGCCAGCTAAAATCCAATCAAAAGGTAGTGTCAGGGATTCTCTAAAATTGGGTAGTACAGATTTCTGTTACTGCACACAGAAACAGCTGAAGGCTGTGAACTTCTTACGGTGAAATGGATAAATAATGATTCTGTGCTCTGTTGGAACACTTTGAATCAGTTCTTTAGCACTGATTGCAAACTGTTGCATCCCACATTAAGTTTAATTTGCTGATTTTGATTCTGTTCTTGTCTTTTTTTACTGTCATGTTGTTCCATGATGTGAGATTAACTTACTTATTACATACAGTAAGTTATTTCAAGGTTGTGAAGGTTCAAACATTTTTTTACAAGTGTAAATGGTTTTTTTAATAACCCGGCCGTAAAAGACAACATGACAAGGCAGAAGGTTATACAATAAAGATTGATCAAAATCCACTCTTACTTCAGCTTCAAAGTGGTATGGAAGGACATTGTAATTCAGTACATCTGTTTAAATAGATGTGGGTGGGTTATTTTTATTTGCTGTGCTTTGTTGTAGGTTAACGTTGTACTTCTGTATTTTTGTTTTGACAGAAATAGTTTTTCAAGCTCAATAAACATTCTTTTAAATTAGACGGATGTAAAAGTAATCAAAGCAGAAACTGCATATAATTTAAAATCTTTTGTGCCTTCTTGTTTATTGGATCTTAGTTTCATATATGGACTATACTGGGACCAGCACAAGCAACAGAAGTGATGTAAACATGGAACACAGTGATTCTCAAGGAAGCAACGACACTATCAAGATCACTCCTCAGTTTGCACCTCATTTCAGACCAAAGGTAAGGCCAACATTATTGTAAGGTTCTGATTAGGCCTGTCACAGTAACAAATTTTGCTGGGCGATTAATTGTCCCAGAAATGATTGTGACAAATGGTAATATTGTTGTTTTCAGGGTTTCCCCCAGAAAACTTGCTAAATTATTATCAGATTTAATTTACTGCTGATAATGTGGCTTTAGTAGTTCTTCCATTTCATGTTTGTTGAGTTCTTAATAAGCGCCACAGAAACTGTTTTGGTTGCTCAAGTTTATGGGACGAGAGTTTCAGATTTAGTTGACTAAGTGGACAAATGGTTTGATGCATCGTGTAACCGGAAAAATGATGGTAGAAAAAATAATTAAATAATATAAAACCAGAGTGATGCGTGACTATGAGGCGAGCCCGAAAGCTCCTCTCGGGTCTGAACCTGTATGATGATGTTAGCACTGGTTCGTTATTCACCAATGCACCAACCAACCAGAACCACATACATAATCTTTACTCTGAAAAGTAAGTAAAGCCACACGTTGGGTAGGGTGCTGAGACGTAAACGCCTCTTTGTTCACAAAGATAAATCATTGTCACCACTCACTCAACGCACCCCTGAAAGCACGGCTGCAAGTTACATAGAGCTGTGCAACCAGAGCTAACATGGTGGGGTTCAAACCTTTCCCTTGATGTAGAGTTCTGGAAAGAAACATAATTCCTCACAGGGGGTTGATGTAAATATCTATACAAGTCAGCCTGTGTCCAGTGTGAGTGAAAAGAGGCTCCTGTGATCCGTGCTGAGGCAAACTTGAGATCAAACAGCGGTAGTGTGCAAGGCAATGAGCAGAGATGCCAGAGGTGTGATTGGTCTGCTCTTCCGGCTTTAAAGCATGGCCTGCCGCCAGGGTTACAATACACTTGGGAAAACTTTGTGTTTTGAGACCATTGTTAACTATTATAACGATAATAAAGTTTGCAGAAAGATGCTGCAGATATGCTGAAGATACTGCAGATTCTGTAAGTCTGTTGCTGAGAACATCATCTCTTCTACTGTCATTTGTTGGGGCAGCAGCATCAGAAACAGGGAACTAAAAAAAGAAGAAAGAAGAAGCTCTGTTCTTAAAACAGTGATGGAACATGGACCAGAGGTGGAACGTGGCTCGTGTGGTTGCTGGGTTCACGTTCTGTGATAATGCTTCTTGTCTAGCTGCAGTATATCAGGGTGCTACTGAAGGAACTCCTCTCTGCAGTCACAGTCTAGCATAATTTTAAGATGTTCGTTCAGCTGTGACTTGGTTGGCATGTGTTTTGTCTCTCATCTCCCGTAGGAGAATTCAGTAACACTCCTACTGGGAGCAATGTTCTCCATTGAGTTTGGTTGACTTCAGATGTACTCTCTTTAAGGTTCACAGAGTTCCTGGCTATCAGGGCAGTCTACTTCAACTTCAATCTCCTCATACCTTTCTACTGCCCAGGTCAATTGGTTTGTGTACAGTTGGTTTATAATTTTGATTCCTCCTGTGAGATGTAAAGGTTATGGTCTGAGACCTAGAGGGATAGAATTACCAGGTAAAGGCTCTTTAGTTTTGGCTTCAATCTAGCTTTTAGGAGCTCTCTTCTCCAAAACACCTGACTATGAAACTTAAGTGCCTTTTCCACCTCTCTTTGTCTTTGGCTTTAAGCAAATAATACAGTTTAATGCCCTGATGGGTGTCCTTTTAATAATTGTTTTGGAAGGAAATTATTTTAACCAACAATATCTGTTTGTCTTTCTTTATTTAGGGAGACTCACTTAGAACTTTACCCTTGTCCAGAGGGAGCAGTGTTGAGAGCCTGCCAGCAAGAACACAGTGCTTTGCATCCTCCGACAGCAAACGAATGAGTGCTGACCTGTCTGAGTTGGAGCCCACAATGCAGTTTACACCTGCAGGTACAAGCAGACATCACACTGCACAAAAATATGCAGGGAGTAAAAGTTATTAAAATATATTTACAGTTTTTTTGTTTGAGAGGACTTTTCCACATACTGACGTCATTTTCTCTTTATTTACCCGGATATTGTCAACTCTGGAAACTTCACATGTCAATGTGCTGAGTTTGTTTTAAAGCTTGAAGGCTTGCAGGAAACAGTGTTCAGTCATGTTTCCTCTACAGGCTGAGAAAATAAGCAAACACACCACTGCTTTCATTTATGCCTAAGTGTTTGCTGTGTTGTTGTCTAGGCTTTGATGCTGCTTTAACAATCTGTTTCTGTAATGTTCTCCACAATGTCAAGCATTGCAGATGAGTGCCTGCTGATGTTCTCAGAAGTGTTGCACAGCACTGCTCCTGGAATGGGCAGGGTGCATGTTTTTCTTACAAGTTCACTCTCCGCTCTGCATGTACATGACCCATATTAGCAGTCATGCTGTGGGCCCACAGTCTGTCTCAGTCTGCATGCTTGTTGTGTACGCAGCTGTATGTGTGTATGTGTGTTTTTGCAGCACGCAGCCAGTATAAACCAGGCCATCGCAAAACTGCATCATTCGGGACCATTCTGGATGTCCCCAAGATCGTCGTCACAGGTATCACTGGATCCCTGGGCTTCCCGGTGACTGGATAGAGCTTGCTTGACTGAGCCTGTGGGTTGCTGTCAGCTGACATGGTTCTCTCATTTGTGTCAGTTTCTACCTGTTTACCCCCACTAAATTTCCTGGCTGTTTAGTTTTCTGATTTACGGTTGTGTTTGTGCTGGCGCGGGGAAACCGCACGTTGTCCCTTGCTTCAGTGCTTTCTGATTTACTTTTCAGTCAACAAAACCAGAACATGAGTTAAAGTTAAACTTTCTCATCTGAGTTTGTAATTTCTAAAATCAGTTTTTAGTTGACTGTGATAATTCACTGGAAAATCAGTGAGAACATCACTACAAGTCAAGTGTGCAGATGAATTAACTTTGCTAACTCATGGCTCTGTGTTCTGTTGTCTTTGTGTCTTGACTTCAACAAATCATGGGCACAAAGAATAAATTGGCTCACCAGTTCTTTGGGTTTTGTCCTTGACTTTCATGCATAAAGGACTAAGAGAAAGCATGACTCTTTGTTCCTTTTTTTCTCTCTTTAAATCCATTAACTTTGCTAAAGTTATTTTGATTAATTTCCTTCGCTTTGAGGGTCAGAGCTATTATTACTAGCAGAATGAATATGAAGGAATGAGGACAGCTCTGGGTGTCAGAAATGGCTTCTTCTTCTTCTCAACTCGTGAGAGACATTGAATATGATCAGATAGAGGCTAAGAAAGTCATTGGATCATTTGTGTCACTTTTTGGCTTTTTATAATGAAAGTTGAGTTCATAATTGTTATAATATGACAATTATGAACTTACTTATGAACTTACCAAGAAAAACACTCCACTAATTTTGATAAAAAAATTTTAAATACAACATAACAGTTTTTTTAGCATATCTTTGTGATGCAGTCCAACTTCATCTGATCAAGAAAAATCAAACTCATTGTTTAGATCAGAGATGATGAGCTATTGAAATGTAGGCTGATATCAATATCCAATATCAACATTGCTGTTTTGGCCAATTTTATATATTTTAAAATTTAAATGTGTCATAATGTCATGGCCAGTCCTCATCTTTTTCCAAAACACACACACAAACACTAATCATTGTTTTTCCACTCTTTTATTATCTGGTAAGTGTTTCTTAGGTAGCTTCAGTATTCAGTAGTGTAGCTTGAAGGATTCATAGAAAGATGATTAACAAATCTGACATAGTAGGTCTACTTTATAATAAAATTATATAGAAAAGATTCTAAAAGTGAAGTTCAATTTGAAAAGTGTGCATTTGCCTCCCATAGCACAAAGGGACATTATTTTGAATGTATTTCAGCACCTATGAGCCATTTGTGCATCATAGCTATTCAAAGAGGTTCAACAATTCAAGTGCCAGTAACATCCAAAGTTATTTAGCTCATAGTTTTACATAGATCAGGGTTCAAATTTGCATACATCAACTTATTAAAATTTCAACATTGCAAATGTTTAGTTTAGCAAAAAGAAATTCAGAAGTCTGCTCTGATGTGTTGTGTGCTGTGTCCTTGTTTACATGTGTCCTCGTGTTTCATGCTAAAGTGTTTCATAGAGCCTAATATCAGCCAGAGTAAGACGAACCCTTATATCTGGTGTAGAGTAAAATATCTGCAGAATTTGGTTATTATCTAAGCTTGCAACAACAACACATTATGCCATCTTCTATGCAGATGTACCTTTAAATTTGGAACTATGATTCAAACATGAAAAATGAATATAAATTGATTTCTTTTAATCTTGTGATTAGAAGAATCACAGAGCCCTGTTTGTTATTTTGACAGATCTTTTAGAGAGTAACTGAAATGTACTAATTGTAGCCTATTGAGATATATATTGTTATCGTGACATAAAATTGTCCATATTGTGATACGTGAATTTTTTTTCCATATTGCCCAGCACTAGAGGGAAGATATATTGAATGCATGAAGAAAATGTGCAACAAGTCATAGAAATCCAAGGAACCAGTCGAAATCTGTCAGTAAAAAGCATCTCTGCTGCTCAGCATATCAATATTAGCAGTTTAAATTGATGACCTGTAAAAAGAAAAAGGTTTCTTATTACTAATGTATTGCACAGATTGGTATGAGTGGTAAAAGCTAAGAGGCCTTTACATAAAATGTGATGTTAGAGCACATTAGTGGGTAATTCAAATTCAAAAATACTTTATTGGTCCTAAAGAGAAATTAAATGTTGTAACTCATTCGATCAAAGTAGCCTATTCAAAAAGTTAATGTAGAGAGTGATGGCTGTCCTGTAGCGGCCTGTATTACAGTAAATCTGAAGAAGCCTCTCAATTTGTGTCCTATGGAAGATCTATAATCTGACATAAATTTCATATTAATAAAATACAGTATATTTGCGAGGAGAAATGTTATTGTTTTAATACTTTTTACATGCTTCATGTCTTCTGCAGCTGCAGTTCTCTTTGGCCTGGTTGGCCAAACATTTTTTTATTTGCCTGTAATTCAACCCAGGCTGTCAGTGCACACTCATTAATAGAAGCTGCTGTGGATTGACTTAGTTTGCAGAAACAGTGTCTTGCAAAAGTATTCTTACCCAATTATTTTTTTGTCACATTTTGTTAAGTTTCAACCTCAATCTTGTATTTTTATTGTTAATTGATTAGGATTAAAATGATTACTGGAGGAAACATTTTAGTCTGCCTTCAAACTGGGATTTACCTGCTACCAACATGCAACCAGACTTACAATAATATACTTTGGATCAAAGTCCAGACCTAAATCTAATCTAAAATCTTTGGCAAAACAGTGACTGGCCACAGACACTTACCAGTATCTGAGTGTGCAGGTTTCCAAGTTTCAAGTTTAGAATTGCTAAAATGACACCAAAATACTCTAATTGCACTAAAACATGATTCTATTGAGATAAAAATCTATGCCACACTTATCAGATTTAAATTTATCAGAAACAACTGAAACCATATTTTCTTTTTCTATCTCGTCACAACCAGGTTCTGCTTTTGGTTGATTTTTCATATCAAAGCAAAGAAAGATATTGAAGTTTGTGGTTGTATCATATCTGGAAGCTTGACTAACATGGAAGTATGAATACTTTTGGAAGACACCTCTATGTGTGTGCTGGACTGGAAGTAGTGAAAGCTCTCTTCACAAACCTCCAACTCTAGTATATTATTTTGGGAGGCCTAAACATAAACCAATGAATAAGTCCCATGTTGAGCAGCAGCAGGGAATGTGTCTCCCGCCACAGCCACCTGGTCCTCTCTGGGTCTCATTCTGTCCCTTGTTTTTGCTTGTCCTGTCCTCTTGTCCTCAGCCACCTGTGAGGCTCAGAGACGCCGCTCTGTCCAGGATCTGCCAGCTATTGGCACAGAGTCCAGTCAGGTAAGGGAGTGTAGTAGCATCATATGGAATGGATATTTCTAATTTCAATACAGATTGTTGATGTGATATTAACTCGCCAAGTGGCAGAAATGGGATTTCAATGTGATATTTACAATCTTTGAAATCTAGTGGAGCTTTTTCATAAATGACAGTGAGAACATTTGTCAGGATCATAGAGTCAGTGATGTTCTGCTCAGTCATGTATTATACATGTGTATATGAGGGTCATTACCGTTTCAACAGAACAACAAATCAAACTGAGTTTGAAATGTTGCGACCAGAATAATTTGTGCATGAGAAATGTTGAGCTCTTCCACAAAGATGTTCACACCTTTGCTAGCAAAGCATCACAAGAAAGTAGAAAAAGATCAACTTTTGTTGCTGTTGTCATGGAAACTTTTTTCTTTCACTGTTGTTAGTCATATTCCACGTATGGAGTCCACAACACAACTAATGTGAATTAGGGAATCCTCCTGGGAGAGAGGCTTTCATGTCAAAATGGGTAGCTTCCATATTCAACTAATGTTGAAATGTTGACAGACAGCCCTAGTGTTTTTTTAATGTGTCATGAACTGCATGTTGTCTTGGTTCATTTCTACCCTACGCAGCCCTAGGTATGTGTGTGAGAGTTCTCTTTTGACTGTGTTTTTCCTGTTTCAGGGGAGCAGGAGCAGCAGCCGCTCCTCCAGTCCCAGTGTGAGGCCACCTGACAAGACAAACAGCAGAAGCTACTTCCCCCATGATGACCCCACAGGTGACCCCACACCTGGAACGCAAAAATCATCTGGCCATCTTACCTAAAACTTCGAATGAAAACCTCTGCATGACATTACTTGTGCACTGTTACTTCCAGTTCACTACCTTGTACATTTTCTCCACACATTTTCTATTGATATCAAAAGTAATAACTTTTGACTCCAGCACCGTCTTCCATATGATTGAGTTCAGTCCATGGCCTTTAGAGAAATCTGATCTTGAATGGCTTTCCTTCAGTTGTGGTCCTCTTCATGCAGGTCTTTTATAAAACAGTTAGAGTTGTAGTTATTAATTGATTAGTTAATTAATGACAACAAATTTTACCATTTGAGCTGTGTAAATCTCTCCTTCCCTGGCATGTCAGTTGGGGTGTTGCTAGCCAGCACATGCCACCCACCGTGTCATACTCTACACATGAGCTGATTGGTTGAACAGATCTCTGGGAGATGTAGATCAGAGGTGGGCTGGTCCAGGTCTTGAGCGCCGTAGTCCTGAAACCGTTAGATGTGTCTCTGCTTCAACACACCTGAGGCTAATGATTTGAGGTGATTAGCCTCATTATTTAAGGCCAATGACCTCATGTAAAGAGGTCATAATCAGGACTGTGAAGAACTTGACTGGACTTTGGAGATTACTCAACTATTTGATTGAAATGTGCTGGACCAGGGAGACATGTCAGAGTTACAGGAGACTGGCCCTCCAGGGCCTCTGGTAGGACCTAGCTCTGCTGGGCTCTCAGATCTGTATGATGCTGGATAATCTCTGATGTTCTCCAACTAAGATCTGAGACCGTCGAGGTACACCTGAGCTTCCAGCACTGTACAGAGATTAATCACACAGGTCACTCCATTTCCTTATTCTGTGACTTCTGAAAGCTGTTGGTGACACTCTGGACTTTGTCTCTGCAAATCACCTTTTTTTTTATTTGTACTTGTAAAACCACTAAAAAACATAACTTGGGGATGATGTGGTGGCGCAGGAGCAAAGCACGACTCACGTATTGAGGCCTTAGTCCTCGTGGTGCTGGTCGCAGATTCAGTTCTCGGCCTGGCAACATCTGCTGCATGTCTTCCCCCTCTCTCATTAACCTGTTTCCTGTCGAACTACTTTCACATAAAGGCCACTAGAGCTAGCAAAACCTTACAAAAGACATATCTTGGGATCCCTCCACGTTACAATTCTGTAAAGTGGAGGAAGTTAGTGTTACTGCGTTGGTTCATCATTTGAATCCCATTCAGATGCTGTATCACAAGTAGAGATGACATGACAATATGAGCGAAAGTCTTTAAATCCTCACTGTCACAGTGATCTGAAGTGATGGAGGTGAAGAACTTCAGCCACAGCAACCATCAGCTTATCTGAGTCTGCTCTGTTCACAGACACTAACGGCTCAGACAACTCTATTCCCATGGCTTACCTGACCCTGGATCACCAGCTGCAGGTACCTCATCCTCTCTGCTAGCTTGGTTTAATTAGCTGTAGTCTATAGCACCTTTCAGTTTTTGTCTCCATTACTCCTAACAACAGACTCTGTCTTCCAGCCTCTTGCTCCCTGTCCAAACTCCAAAGAGTCCATGGCGGTGTTTGAGCAGCACTGCAAAATGGCCCAAGAATATCTGAAAGTCCAAACTGAGATCGCCCTGCTGATTCAGCGGAAGTAAGTGTAGCTGCTGCAGCTACTGGTGTCCCTGCCTGTGAACTGTTGAGTCACAACAACTTCTCCTTTAACAATTTGCTTCCCTCTGAACTGAACTGACCAGGTTCATTGCAGCGTTGCACCTTGAAACAGCACTCAAATAAAACTAAACTCTTTATTTTGTTTCAACAGGCTGAACATTGCTTGGAGCATTCAGTGCTTTCACTGAACAGTAACAGTAGTATGATGGTGATTAAAAGTTATCAATTTAAGATGCATCAAAATGTTCACTTTTAGTAGATGTTTTGTTTTCATGGTTTAACTTCAGAAATGATGAAAAGTTAATCCAGGTGATAAATCATTTGTCACATGTTGTGCATGTATCCTAACATGCACAACATGTTTTGTTTTGTAGTCAACAAGTCTTGGAAAAATCTGGAACATAACTGAGTCAGATTACAAGTCTAAATTAATACGGAAAATATGGTTTGCTAACATTATGACTTCCAGACTTGATTTCCTCTCCATTAAGTAAAAAATAAACATTGACTTTTCAGTAAATTAAGTTTCCTGTCTTAGGTTTACCACATAAGATGTGTAGGTTTTGTGCACCCTGGTCTCAAAATGTAAACCAATAGTTTAACTATTTATTTGGCTTCTAGATCCTCTTAAACCTCAACTCGATTCAATGTTTGAAGCATTTAAACTGTTATTTTGTGGAATTTTCACAAACCAAATAGATGCAACACATATCAGCAGTTAAACAATTAAACAAGTGTAAAGTGCAAAGATCACATAAAGATCTTATTCAATTTAAGACCAACTTTACTTACATTGTGAAATCTGATCCAGGTTTGTCCAAAGGTCTGCTGAACTGTTGAGTTGCTTCCAGATAAACCCCATCAGGTTACTGGACTGAAGCTGTTTCATGGCAGCACAGCCTGGAAATGGTTTGGAAGGCATTGCTTCAAGTGTGTGTTTAAAATGATCTCTGTGTGTGTGTGTGTGTGTGTGTGTGTGTGTGTGTGTGTGTGTGTGTGTGCGTGTGTATGTGTGGGTGTGTGCAGGACAGAGCTGATCGCTGAACTGGACCAAGATGAGAAGGACCAGCAGAACACGTCCCGTCTGGTGCAGGAGCACAAGAAGCTGCTGGAGGAGAACAAGAGTCTGTCCACCTACTACCAGAAGTGCAAGAAGCAGCTGGAGCTGATCCGGGTGCAGCAGCAGAAGAGACAGGGCACATCCTGAGGACACTACCCAGCATCCTCTCTGCTTCACTGCATCACATACACACACACATACACGCACACACACGCACACACACGCACATGTCCCAATCCAGCATGTCCTGCATGTTGCATCATAGACTCTATAAGAAGACAAATAGCTGCAGCATCTTCTGTGACTATTGCCCCATCAGGAGGGGAGGGGTGGGAAACTGACTGACTGACTGACTGACTGACTGACTGAGAAGCAGCTGTAGCTGCAGGACGGACAGGCTGAGGCCACAGCAGTGGGAGCTTGTGTGGTTTTTTGCATTTGCACTCAGGACTCTAGGCTGCCTTGTGAGTGTGTGTTTGGATCATCATGACACTCCTCAGAATGTGAAACTGGGATGGAGTTCTTTTAGCTAACCGTCTGCAGAACAATCAGAAGCTAGCAGCGGGTTTGAAATGTGCCCTGGTTATGCAAAACACACCTGGTCTCCTGGAAACGAGCAGAATCTCTCCAGCTGGTCCCCGTTCTCCTCCTGCAGCCTTCCTCCTGGTCACACCTCCCAGCAGCAGCTGGAGGTCCGGCTGCTGCAGCTCCTTGACCTCCTGCAGCTTCTGGAGCCAACACTAAGCTGTGGATTCCCCTGATTGTTTGACCTCAGTATTGTTGTGTGAAATGTTTTTGTATTTTATATCCAGCTGTGGATTTGGCGAATTGGTTCTGTGGTATCTTCCTGTTGGAGCGGATCAGAACCAGTCTGGGAAGGCCCTTGCTGTCCAGGCTGCGTTTGAGCGCAGTCTGCTTGTAGTTCACATGTTGCCTTAGAGGTTGCCTGCATTTAAGTGCTTGTTTTATGGGACAGCTATTGCAGAGTGAAAAACAGAGCAGATTTTAACGTTAAGTCAAGGATGGGAATGTTTTCTGGTGAGAAAGCAGAGGAATGTGTGAATCTGTTTCCTAACAGCTTTACAGGAACACTTGATGTACTTTATGCCTCACATCCTCCAGATATGTTTGCACAGTCACTGATTTTACTCTGGCTCCTCTGACATTTTCTTTTCTTTTTTAGTAAGTGTTTTTAAAGTGGCCAGGCCCCTCCTGAGGTAGATTCATCCCACATGTAACCTGCAGGTGTTTCCTACTTCCTGTGAAAAGGAGATGTAGAAGGCATTCTACAATAAACTGAATGGTGAACAGATGTGTATCTGTGCAGTGATTCACTGTGTTACTGATTGTTTTAAGAAGTTCTGTTTTAAGTTTTTAGAAGTTCTGTTTCAGACAGTCAAGGAGTTCGGGTCACAGAAAGCTGAACATCTGTGTTCAAACAGCTCAAATAAAGTAAGTAGGAGGGGGAAAAAAATCTAGATCCTTCCACAAGGTTTTACATTATCATGTTCCAAACTAAACCTTTCCTGTCAGTTCTGATGGACCAACACAGAGAGAGCATGGGAGGAAAATGACTTCTGGTTCTCCAAGACTTTAAAGAATAAGAAAGTGAATAATAAAAGAACATGCTGACGGTGCCCCTTTTTCACCCAGAGACGTGTGGATAGTTTATGGCCTTCAGTTTTCTTGGAGCTTTGACTAGACCGTTGTACCCTGACTGTGCTGCTCTGCTGGAAGCTAAACCAGCTTCAGCTTTCATCAGTTTTTATTTCACTCTGTTCATCTTCAAATCAACTCTCACCAGCTGATCTGTTCCTGCTGAGGACAAGCGTTCTCACAGCATACTGCTGCCACCACCGTGGGCATGGTGCGGTGAGGATGATGCACTCTGCTGCTTTCGGAAAGAAAGAGTTTAGCATCTTCTTGCACATAATGCAAACCTTAAGCAACGTTGTGCTTTTCTTCCATGAAGGTCAGATTGGTGGAGGTGACAGTGGGTGGTGGTCCTGTTGGGTGTTGGTCCTGTTGGGTGGTGGTCCTGTTGGGTGGTGGTCCTGTTGGGTGGTGGTCCTGTTGGGTGGTGGTCCTGTTGGGTGGTGGTCCTGTTGGGTGGTGGTCCTGTTGGGTGGTGGTCCTATTGGGTGGTGGTCCTGTTGGGGGATCGTTCTGACCGATGAACCTGCTCTTCACTACATTCTGCACATAGTCTGCATTCAGGCCTCATCCCAGCCACAAATCCAGCTTTTATGTTACGTCTCAGCAACAGTGCAGGGTCCTGGGTTTAAATCCCACCCTGGGTCCGCCTCTTCATGGAGTTTGCAGATTCTACCAGTTTATATTTTGCAATATCATATTTAATACCATTGCTTATTTTTCCTCCTGTATTTATTAGATTTAAAATGAGCTTTTGTTGTTTTTACTTGTTGGCCTTTAAAGGGTTAATGACTGGATCTTGATCGATTTCTCTTGTCTTAACTTCTTAACTTAAATGAACCCAAACCATAAACTATTGCTCATTTATTTACTGAATACTTCCAGATGGGTGTAAATGGACTGCAGTTTGTTGTGGAAACATCTGTAATTGGAAAGCAGATGCAGGAGTTCTGCAGGAAGCAGCATCTCTGCTGTCAGTGGTTTACAATGTGGAGCATGAGACAGAGTGAAACCTCATATGCAGTGATATTAATGTTTGCATAGAGATTATGGTAATAATGGTAATGATCTCTATACAAATATTTTTTTGTATACTGGGTTGGAAGTTGAGATCTACATTTTTCAACTGAATTAGGATTATTTTTGCACTGCTGGATCCAAAAATGATCCATTTTTCTCAATCAGGTTTTTATTCTATTTTGATTTCAGAGAAATCTGAACTTCTGACTAAATTAATGACATTTTTGTGACATTATCAGTTCATTTCCTTGAATATTTTCCATTCAAAAAATAGTTTTAGGAGGAAAAAAATGTTTTCTAACAAAATGTATTAATTAAATGTTACAAACTTGGATTTCTGTAAATTGCATAATAAACACAAATACTTGTAAGTACATGTAAATTGAACATTACGTCTTCTTTGTGCAAAATTCTCCGTCTCTTTTCTGTCCTGATGGAATCTCTTCTCCTGCTCATCATTGATCAGATTCTCCAGCTGTGCGAACAAGTCCTGCATTTTGATGCTCATGTTGCTCCATAGTTCAGAAAGTTGACCTGATTGAGCAAAACAAGGTGATTTTTGGATTCAACAACATGATCCTGAAACAGATGAAAAACTCCAGACAGTATTTTGGCTGTTGTACTGTATCAGCTGTTGTACTGGTAGTTGCTGTATGTGGTAATGCTCTGAGTAACTGTTGTGAATGGCATTATGGAGGAGCATAGTGATGACAAACTGAAACAGTGTCAGAAAGAGCAGGAGCTTCTTAAAAGGACAGAGGTCACTATCAACATGTTAGATTTAAAAGTCAAAGTTCTCTGAAGTCAAGTTTGACATACAGCTCTGGAAAAAACTTAAGACCACTTAGTTAAATGATTAGTTTCTCTGATTTTACTCTTTATAGTTATATGTTTGAGTAAGATGAACATTGTTCTTTTATTCTACAAACTTCTGACAACATGTTTCTGAAATTCCAAGCAAAAATGTTGTATTTATTTGCAGAAAATGAGAAGTGGTCAAAATAGTGAAAAAGATGCAGTGGTTCCTAATGTCGCTCTGTTGTGGACAAGTAGAGTTGAAGTTTCAGAAAAGCTTTCCAAGAGCAAAAATAACTTCAGTTATATCATTTTTGTTCCCTAATGCTTTAAAAACACCTTCATCGTTGCAACAGGCTTTTTCTGTCTGTAGCTGGGTTTGTTGGAGTTGTGGCCTGATGTCGCAGTGCAGCATCTGCACTGCGACATTTCAATACAGTAACAATAAAAAAGACCATGTACCCTCAGTCAGGTGTAGGGTTCCATCCGCTCTGGGGTTTACAAGAGCCTAACATTGTAGCATCAACACATGGACCACTGATTGCATTGTGTGTTTTATTAAACAAATGGAAAATTGAATGGATAAAAAACAACCTGGCGTCAAGGAGCTGCGGTGCCTAAGTCTGTCATGAAGATGTAAATGAGATTTGACAGCATTTTTAAAATTACATTCAGTGTTTTGTTGAACCTGATCTACATCCAGCACATCAGCAGATAATTTTGTTCAAGATGATTATTTCATAAAATAAAAAACTGAAAATGTCTTCACACAAATTGAGCTTAAAAATATTTGACACATCCTCATTAGTAGATCACCTGCTTCTGTTGAAGAAATGCTTGAGAAAGATGAGACTTTGTGGAAAACTCACATCTTCTAAGTGAAATCTCTGCAGTTGCTCTGTCCATGCCGCGCCAACACCATATAGGGAAAATAGTCGATGTGCTCAAATATGACCTGTGAAAACTTAAAAAAACAACAACAACAAAAAACACTTGCATTGTGCAGCGGTACAGAAAGAGCACCGTATAGAGACTGAAGTCTTCAAGGCAGTTGTCCCCCGACTCTCTCCTCCCATCCTGTCCAGATACTTATCAATAAGAAAAACATAAAAGAAAACTCCTCACTTTAATTCCAGTTTTTCTCTTTTATGACAAAAATATTTTCCTTAATCCTTTATAATGAATCTCCAAGTTGATGTAAAAACCTCGACCCACACTTGGACTGAGGTTTCAAGGACCTCACAAACAGCAGAGGTTCAACCAGCAGGTGGCGCTAAACATCAAGACATGGAGCTCAAAGGTGCAGAGCTCCTGCTGCACAAAGAACCACATACAGTCATAGTCAGTAAATCAGATCTGTGGTTCTGTGTGGAACTAATCTGAAAGCTGTGTTATTCTTTGACAGTTGAATTATTGAAATAAAATCATTTTTTTCTATCTTATTCTAATTTATTGGTTATGACTGTACATTCAGTGCATCAGTCAGTAGAATCCTCCAGCAGCTCTCTCTGTCCTGCTGCTTGGACTCCAGATTGATGACGGTTAGATTTACCTCCATGTTGAATGAGTCGTGCTCACAGGCCAGATGGAAATCACTTCTGATTTCCATTTGATTTTCTGTGTTCTGCTGACAAAGGCTTGCTTCTTTCTTTCCACTGGTTGTTTTAGCAGCTAAATGAGGAACAATGAGTCACTTCATCGTGGAGAAGTGAAGTCATCTTCCTTCTCCTGCAACTTCTTATTGTGTGTGTGTGGGGGGGGGGGGGGGGTAGAGGGGTGTGTGTGTGTGGGGGGGGAGGTATGTGTGTGTGTGTGTGTGTGTGTGTGTGTGTGTGTGTGTGTGTGTGTGTGCGTGGGGGGGGATGTGTGGTGTGTGTGTGTGTGGTGTGTGTGTGTTGTGTGTGTGTGTGTGTGTGTGTGTGTGGCTCTTTGGTTGTTTGGTCTGCTGGAAGCTGAAGGGAAATCCACATGGTGTTGTTAAGGCTTCCTTCCACAGACCTGTGGCTTGTGTTGGCTTTAGAACAAACTAAATCCTCACTTACTGGTGATTACCCAGAACATTATTTAATTATCCAAGTGAGCATAACAGGCAGTTTCATGCATGTTGCGATTGTTCACAGGCTGCCTGTGGAAGTGGAGCCTGTCATGTCTGAGAGCCAGAAACAAACATTCAGAAAGTTTTCATTCCAAAAGTGACAAATGCATAAATTGTACAAGAAGTAGAAGAAAGATTCTATGTTCAGCCTTTAGCTGTTTTTTCTGCCTGTTGCTACGGAGACAATTTACTCCCAAGAAACTGTTCTATAATAGGTTCAGCGTTCAGTAAAACAGATCTCACTGTACTGTAGGTGTTTGCACATGTCAGTTATTTCTTTACATGGAATTGGTGATTAGAGCTTATTGTTGCCTGAAATAGTTTGATATGTTTCTGAACAAACACCGTTAAGATCAGTTTGATTGGTCATCTGATTTATGACCAATCAGATGAACTCCTGTAATTTACATAAAAATGATCTCAAATGTTGCCTGTTGGGTGGAGTTGCTCTGTTAAACTGATCCAGGAACAGTGAAGGTTTATTAGGATCTGCTTCCTGTTCAGCTTTACATGAATAAACAGAAAACCAGACTGTCATCCCTCTTTACCGTCTCTGGGAGGGAAAGTTCATGTTGCAGTTACAAACTGCATGAAATTTAGATTTTATCTATGGCATGGTAGCCATGGAAACTGGATGACATAAATAGGCTAGCAGAGGGGAAGGGATGTTGTAGTTTTTAATAATGGACTGAATTTGGGTCATTATATCTTGCATGTTAGTTCTATAAATTGCATCTTGTGCCACTTAGGATTCCATTAATCTGTGAGTCCCTGGTTGGCGCTCAGAGCCTCCAGAGCCAGACCCTTTACAGGCTGACTGTTTAAACCAGCATGAAGATTTCACATCTGATTCTGTGTTTACTCCACTTCAAGTATTATGTAATTACACACTGCAAGTTAGCGACGCTGAGCGTGGGCACGCTAAATGGGCTCATGTCCTCGTTTACTATTTGGAAAGCCAATCAGCTCTATCAGTCCCCATTCAGAGTTTTACAGCAGGTCCATTTAGAGGAGCACTAAGAGTGTGAGACAGTGGTGAGACAGTCCACAACTGCTCCAGCTCTGATGCAATACAACTTAACACAAAATAAAACAAGAGAGTGACCGAGTGCTGTGGCTGTTGCTGAAGCCTGAAAGGGAAAGTCCAGGAATTTAACCCTGTGAGAAAAGATTTACCATCTGACAGGTTTCTAGACTGGCTTTCTTGTCTATCTGCAATATTTTGTGTCATCAAAGAAAATATAACTAATTTGTCTACGGAAATCAAGTCAGTTCAAAAGATTTTCAATGATGATGTTATGTATTTTATGATTTTGTGTATTCCCATTCCCATAACTTCCTTTTTGACACAACAGCAACAGCTGCCATTCAGACCTTAACTGGTTACACTTTATTTGAAGAGGTGTGCATAAGACCGATATGTCTTTAAAATAAAGCATTATCCTTTAACTTCATGGTGAAGGAAGTGTCTTCTCTGCAAAATTGTTTAATTTCAGCCTCATGAAATGTTTTGATTGATTAAGCATTCTTTTTGAGGTCATGCTACAAAATGTTAATTTTGTAGACAAAACCAATCAAAACAATCATCTGTGTAGTTATAACATGAGTCGGTGGGAGCATATAGATATTAAATAGGAGGATGCAGATCACTCGGCAGCCTGAGGTTTATCGCCTTGCCCAGGAGCACATTAACATACGACAGCAGGAGGCTGGAATTGGACCTCAAAATTTCAAATTGCAAAACTAGTCTTCCCTCTCTGCCACAATTGCCCTAATTTGCCTCAGTTGTTACAGTTAATGAGGCAGGTTATAACAAAGGAACACCCTGTATTTAACATTAACATATTAGGACTGTGGTGTTCCTGCAGGGTTAGGTATTGCTGTTACTTGCAGTAAACACATGTAGGTTTTGTTATGTAGAAGTCTGAGCAGTTAGAAGGAGCAAAACTGCAGCAGGTCTTCTCTACTGCATCTCAGTGTGATAATCCAGCTGGAGCTTTCTGCACCAAGCAGATCTACCTTTAGTGTTATACATGTAATTATTGTTTTACATATATATAATGTTCCAAAAGAAAATTGTCTCATTTTTTGAAATTTTGCTTGCTGTACAATGAAATTACTACTTTATACTGATTTGATTGAATGTCTGTCTTTAAACCCACCGTTGAGCAGTGAACAAAACCATGTGATCGTTTTAAACAGGCAAGTACAGAAACTGTTTTACCTGTGCACCTGTAGAGTTCAGCTGAAAACCTAAGAGCTGCACTGAGTCTGTGCAACAGCCAGCAAAAGTAAATGTCAGTTACAAAACAAATGTTGAAACCAGCTGAAAGTGGCCGTTTTGAAAATGCAAGTTAATAATAATGAGAAAGTGAAAACCTTTAGAAGAATTTGAGTGCTGAACTCAAAGTGACATGTTTCCAACAGATTGATAAGACTCTTACTGAGAAATGTATGCTGAATACACACCAACCTTGTTTAGTC